TAGTCATAGTCTGTTAATTGCTTCATCTGTGTAATCGATCATTATCCTCCCTCAGAAAACAGATTTCCTGTTTTTTTCATTGTTCATAAAAACTCTCTTCCCAACCGGTTTTGTTAGTTGCTGTTGTTAGGTCTAAATTTGACTGGATTCCCTGTCAATGTAGCATCTTCAGCTAATAAAAATGTTTTGGTTACCTCACTCTGTGAGTCTGCATTTAGATCCTGTGCTTTATCACACAGCTGGTACCCATGTGGATGCTTTCTACTTTGTGTGAGGACTATGGGCTTTTAGGGAAATGAAAATTCAACAAAGAGCTTAAAGGACATCCATCCTTCTTTTCATGAGCTATATCTTAAATGCTTTCCATAAAATTGTCTTCAGCTGACAATTGACATGGTGGGTCACTCCAGACTTTAAATCTGATCACTTTAACCTGACTAATGATAAAATAATCTGTTCTGTCTTCTAAAATCCTTTTATGTATTTACGGCTACTAATTCTACAATGAGTTCTGCAGATTGCTTTCTCTAAACAGGAGGTTTGGTGGATATTTAGCATCTCGGTGCAATTGGCTGTGCTTGATTTATCATCCAGAAAACTGTGTGCAGGTTGGTGAGTGTCTGTGTTTATGGTCCAGAGGGGTGTGAAGAGCAGCTGGATCCCAGACGGTATATGCCAGACTGTTTTGTTTACATGAATAGTGATAAGGCTCTCTACTTTTTTAGTTTTTACTCTTCTCATGGTTCTGACACTAACCTTAGTAATCTCTACTCCCATGGAGACCAGAACACATTTGAAATTGGCTGCGCCCATTAGCAATTACAGTACCTGTGATACCACCACTCAACCAAAGAGTCAACTCTGCAGACATATGAAATAAATTCAACGACTTCCATTGGAAATATAAACGATTACCAACATCATTCAACTCCAAGTCAAACATATTTCAGTTAAAAACTATTGACTGAACTAGAAAATTCAATTAAACTAAGTAGCTACTATGTACACACAGGAAACGGTCTGAAAATAGTTACAAAAAAATAATCAATAAAACAATGCAATGATATCACAGTTTTGATTAATTAATTTTAGAATTTTAGTTTGAGAACCAACATTTAGGGTTTGGAATGAAGTCGAATTAGCTTTTAATTAAATTAGAGCAATCTAAATGTGTTCAAACCAATTCACAATGCAAACCCAAGAAGTAAAGCATTTGGTAAAATATTATTTCACTTGGTAATTTGCCTGAATCTCAAATCAATAACTGTTTAGATAATTTAGACTCTGTGGCATAATTTATGGACCACCCTTTAAAAACAAGAGACTCTTTTAAAATAAGGCAAAATAGTTATATATTTCAAGCTTTTAGCTCAACATCAAATCTCTATTGCCCAAACACTAAATCATCCTACCTGCAAATTTCCAAGTGTGAATTCTAAAGTCAAAAGTTCCTGTGTTAACTCTGGTCCGCATGTTCTCTCTATAGTCTCCACGACCTTAACTGCCAGTACCCTCTTCAGGGATGCCCTCTCCCACACTCCAGAGCATTTCTCAGCATTTCTCAGATTTACTGATCTTTCCTCCCTGTGCATCAGACTGCGAAGTTAACGCCATTCTTTCCAGAGCTTCATCATTGGATGGCAGACAGTACCCATGTGGATTTGTTTAATGCTGTTCACCTACAGAAAGGAATTATGAAGAGAGCTACTGTACTGTAGACCATTAAGCCTTGGAGGATCGGGGAAGGCACAGAAAAGTCAGTTATTTTTTGGATAAATAATAAATCTTCAATACCTACAGTCAGTCGTACACCTTGATCCTGAGAAAATTATGTTTGTTTTTTGTTTTTTTTGTGGTTTAACATCACAGTCACTTACAACCCAGGCTCAAGAAACAGCAAACTATTCACCTTTTTGGTAACTCTAAACCCATCATCCTTTCTCAGTCTTGAATCTCTCCTTTAATCTAACAAGTCTTGTTAAGCAAGCTCCTCGGGATGAAACAGGTTCTTGAAGGGGTACAACACATTTGTTTTTTTTCCCCCACTCCAATTTCTGGCTGATTGCTTAAATATTTTCTATAAACTTTGCTAACCAATGAGCAGTCCAATGTCATGAAATTAAAACCAATTTAGCAGTAGTCCCCAACCTCCATGTCAGAACTGAAGGAGTCTGATCTGTCCAAGCTGCTGCATCCTGACTGCGGAATGCATTGCCTGTAAAAACTCCAAGGAGCTTTTAATCAGACTCAAACTTGCATGGTATGCATTTGTGATTGTAGCTTTTATATTCTGTATTGGATTATGCTGTGCATTAAGTTGTGTTCCAGTTTTTTGAAGAACTTTGTAACATCCTAACTGTAAAAATGTGCTATAGAAATAAATTAAATCTATTTACTAACTGGGCTCTCAAAATATCTGTTTTCACACACAAACACCCCGGGCTATTTTAGACTATACATGAGGGTTTATAGAATCAGTCATCTTACTTTTTTGTTTTAATTTCTGCTCTTCACCATAAAACTGCAAATTTGACATAAAATTGTATAGAAACAGTATTAGTCCTAACTCAAGTACCAATTAGCTGCTCCTATATTATCTCCCTCTGCCCTCCAGGTAGGGACATAGGAGATAAAACCGTAGCCTAACAACCCGTTTGTGCTGCACTAGCTTCTGGATACAGCATGAAACTTTCAGTAGGTGACATTTAGCCTGACTATGATAATGCGATGCAAGATCAATAAAGAAAAATAAAAAATTGTTGAGCAGGATTAAACTTATGATACAATACAATGATTATTGCCAATATATTATATATCAGAATATATCAAAAATCAATAGGAGGTGATGCATTGCATTAATGTCTATACATGTCTGGTTTCCCATGGTTTTAATTCTCATCTTCTTCTATTACCAAAAGCTAGATCATCTGTAAAGGTATTAAAAAGAAACGTCAAAAAAAAAAAAAGTTTTCTTGCGGCATAAAGATGAAAGATTAAGAGAACAGGGTCAGATTTATGTTAAGGTTTGAAGGATACAAACTCAAAAACAGAGAAAATATTATAGTGAAATTATCTAATTTAGAGTTTTTCTAGGAGAATTCATTGAGATAACTAAAAGGGCAGATTATGTCAGGTCTAACTGAATAATGAAATTTGTTCTAACAGTATCAATAACCTCTCTGTTTGAATGAATGCCCTCCTGTGTCCCCTTCAAGTTGTACATTCTTTTTTGCATTTTAGAAAAACCATCACATGTTACATTTTTTACACTGTTGGATAAGGTTTCTTGTTTTGATGTTGTCAGACAAAAACTTGTGTCTTCAAAAATGTATTTAACTCTCAATGTAAATATAGGGTGGTAGAATTCTCCTTTTTGACACCTTTCGTTGCAAAGGTGTCAGTTTAAACCTCAGACAGATGTGAGGGAGAGATCAACAGGATATATTTTTCATCAGAAAGAAAAACTGCAAAAAATTCCCCAAAAATGTATATGGTGTTGTGATGAAAAAAAAGTCAAATTCCTTGTCTTTCCATGAAATTTTTCCTCATGAAGGGGATTTCGATTCTGATCCAAATGATAAGATTTAGTGCTTTAATACAATGTAAGGGTAATTGTTGAACTTTATTAATATTTAGGGAATGACCAGGTTAATTTGCAGTTGTTATTTTTCAAATCTGAACTGAAATGACAAAACAAAATGTTGCGCTCTATATTGTCATACACATCTGTTTGTAAACACATTACAAATGCAGGGCTTAGCACTCAGTTTCACCACTTTCTTATCTGAATCAATACTTTTCAGTAATGACGTGACTGACTAAAAGCCACATGCCATCCTAACCATCCATTTTTTGTCTCTTAACTTAAGGATAACACAACAGAAACCTAAAATTGTAGATTTTATTTTGATTTTGTTTTAACAAATATTTGTTAAAGATAGTTTCTGTGTATGCACCTTGACACTCTATCTCTTTCTTTTCTCTGAAAAGAGATCACTCGGGACAAAGTCTTTAAATAACACTTCATAATTTATATGTATTAAATAAACAGGAGACATGACAACAGATTCTTATAGAAATTATAATCTTACTCAGATCAGAGAAATTACTTAGGGTTACAGAATGGCAGCTGCTCACCTTCACCTCTCAGGAAGAGGCCCGATTAACAGTTAAAAAGGCGTTTTATACATCTCTAGTCTACCACATTATCTTATTTTATATCATACATGTTAGCAGATGATTAGACATCCATGGCTCCAGCCTTTTTAGTTCAACATCAAATACAATTCTATACAAGTTAACACATTGGTGGAAAATGAAGGAATTAGGCAACTTTTTACGTGCCTGAGGGGTCCCCGGTGATGGTATTTCTTTAATGGAAGAGCAGAAGGCGATTAAAACAAGACAGCTAGTCTCTAAAACAGATATAGCTACAACTTGATGCTAACATGTTTGTTAGCTGTCAGAATTCAGTCAGAATTCTCAGATTAAAATCAGAATTATGAGATTAAACTCAGAATTCTGAGAAAAGAGTCAGAATTCTCAGATTAAAGTCAGATTTCTGACTTTAATCTGAGAATTCTGACTTTTATTCGAGAATTCTGACTTTTTTCTCAGAATTCTTAGATTAAAGTCAGAATTCTGAGAAAGAAGCCAGAATCATGAGATTATAGTCAGAATTATGAGGAAAAAAGTCACAATTCTGAGATTTAAAGTCAGAATTATAAGATTAATATCAGAATTCTGAGATTAAAGTCAGAATTCTGAGAAAAAAGTCAGAATTCTGAGATTAAAGTAAAATTCTGAGAAAAAAGTCAGAATTATGAAATTAAAGTCAGAATTCTGAATTTTGTTTTTCTCATAATATAGGCTACTGAAATAAAATTTAAAAATCAGTTAACCTTTTTTTTTTTTCAGTGACTCTTCCGTACGTATGTTGTTTATAACAACAAAATGAGACTGAAGGGGCGTTGGTGCTTGCTCACTCAGTTTTAGCAGCCTGGAGCGGATGTGTCACGCTGCATCAGTGAACGCGTCAGTTTAACAGGAAAAACATAGAGTTTGTAACATCCGAAGGGTTGGGCAGGATGATGAAGAGCGCGAGCTGCAGGTGGTTTGATGAAGATTGGAAAGAAGAGGAAAAGAGCCGTTAACTTCCTCATCTGGGAACAGGTTTCCAACGAGGGATTTATTTAAATCAAACCCAGGGAGCAACAGGCGGGCGGTAAAGTTCTTCTTTCCTACACGATTTAATTTACCAATTCGATTATAAATATATGTAAAACTATAGAATATAGTTTTTTCATCGAAAGAAATTAACAAAAACATTTATAAAACTTCTATAAGGCTTTCAGTGTGTTTATTATAAACTTTCAATATTTACCGGAAACATCTTTTAAATAAAATATATTCAATTAAAAATAATTGTAGACGTTCCATGGCAATATAATGCTTAAGTTTGGCTATATATTCGATTTTAAGATTAAAAAATTCAATTAATGTAGGCCCTAATTGATCAACAGGTGTGTATCAGCAAATGCTGAACTTTTTTGCACCGTATCTTTCAGAAATTACGCACCTTGGCTGTGAAAATGGCTCAACTATTTTACAAGAAAACGGACAATTCCTCATATAATGACCGCCTCCCGCTGCGGATTGTGCGAGCGGAGGCTGAGCTCTCTCCCATGGAGAAAGTCTACCTGGGGGCCGTCGAAAGAGGGGATTATGCGAGTGTAAAGCAAGCGTTGGATGAGGCTGAGATCTACTTCAGGATCAACATCAACTGCATTGACCCCCTGGGACGCACGGCCCTTCTTATTGCCATTGAAAACGAGAACCTGGAGATAATAGAGCTCCTGCTCAGTTATAACATACACTTGGGAGATGCTCTGCTGCACGCAATACGCAAAGAAGTAGTAGGAGCAGTGGAACTGCTACTAAATCACAAGAAACCACGTGGAGAAAAACAGGTGATAAAAAAATCTGATAAGTGTATTTACTGTTTATAAAACTACAGATGTAGATTTTCATTTATTCAAGTGATTGCAGTTAATATCACTAACTACAGGGTAAGACTGACTTTTCAATTTCCTGAACCTTATTTTCAACAATTGACTAAATGCTGTTCTGAGCTATGTAAAACGCTTTAATTTCATTTATTAACAGCTTTAACTGAGTTTAAATCGGTCTAATTATACCTTTGATTAGGAAATATTTGAAGGTAATTATTGACACTGAGTTTCACTTAGGGGTATCTGAATTAAAGGGGCTGAAATCAAATGCACTTCACTCTTTTTTTATTTTATTTGGGCAAAACCAAACAATATAAAATTATTTTAAAGGGTATGATTCTTGTTAAAGGATATCCATTTTTTTTATTATGGCCGACATTTTTGGATAATTACCCAAATGATAGTGCTCAGTGTCCTTGCTTTTAAGATTTTGGAGCAAAAATACAACTAACATAATCTCCAAAAGGTGTTTTTTGTAATCCAGAGATAAAAAAAAAATAGACATAACAAAAACACTCATCATGGTTTCTGCCAGGAACACATCCTGAGGCCAGCCTAACCACATGCAATTAGCTAGTTGCTTACTGATAGATGATAATTTTAGTCAGAAAGCATCAATTAGGTCCTTTCAGACAGTTGGTTTGGATCAAGGCAAGGCAAGGCAAGGCTATTTGTATAGCACAATTCAGTACAAAGACAATGCAAAGTGCTTTACATGATTAAAATATAGGGGAAAAAAACAAAATCAAAGCAAGTAGGAAAAAAATAAAACAATGCAGAAGCAAAAAAGAACATTAAAAACAGTTGGACTAAAGAAAATAAAAAAGTTGAACTAATGATGTTTCAGTTGAACTGTTTTACTAGAACAGTCGTAGGCAATCCTAAGCAAATGTGTTTTTAGTCTTGATTTAAAGGAACTCAGGCTTTCCGCACTTTTACAGTTTTCTGGAAGTTTGTTCCAGATAATTGGAGCATAGGAACTAAATGCTGCTTCTACATGTTTAGTTCTGGTTCTACGTATGCAGAGCAGGCTTGAGCCAGAAGACCTGAGTGGTCTGGAGGGTTGATACACTGATCATGTAAAAGGTTTAAAAGTGTTTTTTTCCTCTTTTATTTTTCTGAAGCTATCCCATACAGACCTTGTATATTTGAATTGTATTATTTCCCTATCCACTCATGAGTTTTCTTCTCTCCTTGGTCCATACAAGATCCCCCCTATTCTACAGGACAGACAGTTTTCAGACTTCACTCCAGACATCACTCCAATAATCCTTGCAGCTCAGACGAACAACTATGAGATCATTAAACTGCTTCTGCAACGAGGTGTTTCCGTACCTCAGCCACATGCTGTGCGCTGCAACTGTGTGGACTGCATGTCAAACTCGGACGTGGACAGCCTGCGTAACTCACGCTCTCGTCTTAATATCTACAAGGCCCTCTCCAGCCCATCTCTCATTGCCCTCTCCAGTGAAGATCCGTTCCTCACAGCATTCCAGCTCAGCTGGGAGCTGAAGGAGCTCAGCACAGTGGAGAATGAGTTCAAATCAGAGTATGAAGAGTTGTCCCATATGTGCAAACAATTTGCAAAGGACCTTCTGGACCAGACTCGAAGCTCCAAAGAGCTGGATATAATTCTGAATTACCGAGATAACATCAATCCTCTGATGGATGAGAACACCAATGACCTTGCCCGCTTAAAACTGGCAATCAAATATTCCCAGAAGGAGGTATGTTTTTTTGTTTTTTTTTTATGACAACAACTATTTTAAATTTGACATAAGTCATTCAGGTCTCTCCAATTTAACAGAATCAACAAAATTATATAATTTTGTGAAATAACGTTGCTGTGCAGACTTAGAAGAGGCATAATTTACAATTTAACCAGTAGAAGAAGAAACTGGTATTACATGATTTGATCAGTGTGGAGCAAAGGATAAGAAAAGTGCTAAGATGGGCAGTAAATGGCTTAAAGATGGGTGGAGACCTCCTCTGGGAGTTTAGAGCAACATGTAATTGCCAGTCTGGCTCTTAACAATGCATTACACTAGAACCTTTTAGTCAGCCCCATGATGATTAGATAATTGGGTATAATGATGGAAGATGTAACAACCATTTCCTTGAAATTCAAACTCATAACATTTTAATGAGGAAGGGACCATTTATGGCCTTTAAACCCTGCTTTGTAGATTACATCCATGGCCTGTCAAAGCTGCAGGAAATCGTGAAAATATAGATGCATTGAGAAAAAAAGTAGTCATGACAAAAATAAATAAAAACTACAGAATATACAAACCTTTTAACATCTAGTTTCACATACAGTACCCACTCTTTTTTTTTTTTTTTTACTTAGTATGTCATGTTCAGTGTAATGGTGCAATAAAGCATTAAATTGCACTACGCAAAGCCATAGCCCCTGTTACTCTCCACCTTGATATTACTGGAAAGATTTGCATGATTTTTTATATATTTTTAAAAAACATGCAGCTGTTGAAGCAAATAGGAGTGGCTTATAAAAGTCATCTTTCAGCTAAGAAATAAATATAAAATGTGCGTCAGGTATTTCCCTTATGCAACATGTGTATGAGCTCTGTGTTGTAATGCTGCTACCTGCTTTTGGTATGTTCAGTTGTCATTCTGTCGTTTCATTGGCTCTTTTATTAACTCTTTATTTGAATCAAAAGTAACAGCAATAGGTCAGCTCTAACTGCCACAGACATGTAGAGCAATGTAAAAAGATGAAGATTAAGGGACTCGTGTCCCCTTTATTAGCAGCAGCCATGTAAATAATCAAAGTCACTTGATCTAATCATCAGCCAATTAACCAATTTTGAAAAGCTAAAGTTCATGGCTTTTTCTGATCAAATTCAAGTTCAGGACTTTATTGTATGGGGTTCATTTGCACATAGAAAAAAAAACAAAAAACAGTTGCCATTCTTAAAAGAAAGCATGCCTCAGCAAGGTTTTACCATACCATTACAGAGAAAGAATTAGGTATAACCCCTATTGGGATAGATAGATTTTTAGGTTTCATTAAAAATAAAACACCTGCCACATTCAGTAAATGATTTACAATGGCTTCCATTTTTTAAATTCTATTTTTAAAGTTGTATCTAGATTCAGAGAAAATATGAAACTTGTAAAAGACGGGACTAAAGAATTAGTGATTCAGACAAATGTCTGAATAATACTGCAGCCAAATCACAGAGTAAATCAGGGCAAATCACATTAACCAAGTCCAAAGCATTTTATTGGTGGGCTGATGTCTTCCCTTTTTTTTTTGAAGATAATTTGATTGATTGTTATTAGAATAATTGAGTCAACAATGAAATACCTTGTTTAGTTTGTTTAGTGAAATATGATGTCATAGTAAGCTGAGCGAATGACTAATAGCAGACACAACAACACAACGGATTCACTAATAAAAAAACAATTCAGTGTAAAGTGCTGCCATTTGATTGTCTAAGCAAGATTAGTGGTTATAAACAAGGTAATGCTCTCCCCAATTGACATCACTAGGTAAAAATTATACCTTGTATAACAGCGGCAGAGGTGCCTGACCTGGGCGACAAAGAAGCAGCACTGAACTGTTGCTCAGTTTTGCACGTCATTTGGTAATCAAGGTGCCAGAGTCTGGAGGAAGACTGGGGAGAAGGAAATGCCAAAATGCTAGAAGTTCAGTGTCAAGTACCCACAGTCAGTGATGGTCTGGGGTGCCATGTCAGCTGCTGGTGTTGATCGACTGGGTTTTATCAAGGGCAGGGTCAATGCAGCTAGCTATCAGGAAATTTTGGAACACTTCATGCTTCCATCTGCTGAAAAGCTTTATATGGAGATGAAGATATTTCATTGTTCAGCACAACCTGGCACCTGCTTACAGTGCCAAAACCACTATTCAATGGTTTACTGACCATGGTATCACTGTGCTCAATTGGCCTGCCAACTCTCCTGACCTGAACCCCATAGAGAATCTGTGGGTTAATGTGAAGAGAAAGTTGAGAGACGCAAGTCCCAACAACTCTGGATGAGCTAAAGGCCGCTATCTAAGCATCCTGGGCCTCCATGCCACCTCAGCAGTGCCACAGGCTGATTGCCTCCATGCCGCGCTGCATTGAAACAGTCCTTTCTGCAAAAGGATTCCCGACCAAGTATTGAGTGCATAACTGTACATAATTATTTGAAGGTTTCTTTTTTGTATGAAGAACACTTTCTTTTATTGGTCGGACGAAATGTGCTATTTTTGTGAGATAGGAATTTTGTGTTTTCATGAGCTGTATGCCAAAATCATCTGTACTAAGACAATAAAAGACCTGAAATATTTCAGTTAGTGTGCAATGAATCTAAAATATATGAATGTTCAAGTTTTATCATTATATTATGGAAAATAAACTTTATCATAATATGTTAATATTTTGAGAAGGACCTGTACATGTATTTGTTGCTAATCATTATGAGACAATGTATATTTAGCTGGCTGTTATGAGTAAAATCAAAAAGTATAACCTGTAGTAGATGCTCTTATGATGATGCTGGGACCTAGACTTTAACAGGTAGCATCCCAACTCCACTGAGCAGCCAGAACACACATTCTCTTTCACACAAAAATCATCTGCAAAATTTGTCTATCATATTCATGTTGTGTGAGGTGGCAGTGCTGCCCGAAACATTTATCCCCATTACCCAAAGCACTTTATCTTCCATCTTTTTCAATATTCACTTTGGCAGATTTACAGTCAAAAAGAAAGATACCTAAATCTCACAAGCCAGTACAGGACAAAGGTGGAAAACTTACCGGTACCGATTCAAAATATTTGAGTTCAATGCAGTTTACATGATTTGCTATTTTCTAAATGTATTTTTAAGAACAAACGAAGTAGAGTATATTTCAAATTTTAATCCTTTACCTTTTTTTTAATCTTTCTGTTCCTTAGTTCGTTGCTCAACCCAACTGCCAGCAGCTTCTTGCATCTCGGTGGTATGATGAATTCCCAGGCTGGAGGAGGCGTCACTGGGCAGTGAAGCTCGTCACCTGCATCTTCATTGGCTTCCTCTTTCCTTTGTTTTCTATTTTCTACTTGATTTTTCCAAAGAGTCGCTATGGGAAATTCATCCGTAAACCTTTCATCAAGTTTATCTGCCACACTTCGTCCTACTTGACCTTTCTCATCCTGCTCTTCTTGGCTTCGCAGCATATTGACTCTGATGACCAGGACCGTCCAGCTGCAAACTATAAGGGCCCAAAACCCAGCTCTATAGAATGGATGATCCTGCCTTGGGTGCTTGGTAACAATACATGCAGCCTGTTGTTCATTATTTGCATGTATATATGTTATCCTTTATCAGTAAAATCATTTCAAAAATGCAAATTAAGTGCTTTCCATAAATATTGTTTTTTGTAATATGTGTGACAAGAAATTGTTGATATTTTCTTTATTTTAATCTGTTTTACTTTGTATCGTCTTAGGCAGCCTTATCCAGGGATTTAAAATCTTAAAACTCCACTTGAAACCTGTTTTATGCTTATCTCTTAAAGGTTTCATATGGGCCGAGATCAAACAAATGTGGGATAGTGGTTTAAAGGATTACATGGATGATTGGTGGAACATAATGGACTTCATAATGAACTCCTTGTATCTTGCAACTATTTCACTAAAAATTGTTGCATATACAAAGGTAATTCAAACTAGTTTGATTTAACAGATCATGCAAACCAATCATTGGTAATAGAATTGTTATTTTTCTTAACAGCACAGCGGATACGACCAAAGAAACAACTGGGAAACGTTTCATCCAACGTTGATAGCAGAAGCATTATTTGCCATTGCTAACATCTTCAGTTCCTTACGTCTGATCAGTCTTTTCACTGCCAACTCGCATTTAGGCCCCTTACAGATTTCATTGGGCCGCATGCTTCTGGACATCCTCAAGTTTCTGTTCATCTACTGTCTTGTGCTTTTGGCCTTTGCCAATGGTCTTCATCAACTCTATTTTTATTATAAAACAGATGGTGTTAATAACTGCACAGGGATTCGCTGCCAAACTCAAAATAATGCCTTTTCATCGTAATTAAAGTCCTTATTTCCCTTTTGATACATTTTATTATTTAGAAATAAAATGAAACATACAAATGGTAATTTTTTTAATTCATTTTTGCTTGTTCATCTCTCAGGTTGTTTGAAACCCTTCAGTCACTGTTCTGGTCTGTGTTTGGTCTGATTGCTCTCCATGTCACCAATGTACAAGCAAACCATACATTTACCAAATTTGTGGGCACTACTATGTTTGGCACCTACAATATAATCTCCCTGGTTGTACTTCTGAACATGCTCATTGCAATGATGAACAACTCCTACCAGCACATTGCTGTGAGTGCTCCAGACAATCCATCTATCTTTTAAAGACTTTTTATTCAAGATTCATCACCCACTTACTATTATTTATTCCTTTTTCTCAGGATCATGCAGACATAGAGTGGAAATTCGCAAGGACAAAGTTATGGATGAGCTATTTTGAAGAAGGCGGGACTTTACCATCCCCATTCAATATCATACCAAGCCCAAAATCAGTGTATTATTTATTAAAGTGGATTCAAACAAATTTGTTCAAGAAATCCAGCAAAAAATCCTTTGACTCATTTGAGACTTTGGGGGTAAGGAGCATTGTGAGTGTTTACACTTCCTAAAATCTTTACTCAAAAATAATCAGGCCTAGATCTAATAACCTAATATATCAAGGAACTTATAAAGATGCCTTAATGTGTATCATGAGCACTTTTGTTTTCAAAGGGCATGTAAAGAAAACACTTTAGTTAAACAACAAAGAGGAATAATTGCTACTTTTGCTTGTTCTTTATTCATAGATGCGAGCAGCAGAAAATGTCAGACTAAACCATGAATATCAGGTTTGTTGTATTTTATTTTTTTTTATCATAATTCTTTCAAAAATAAGGATAGGAATTTGTCTGAAATACTGATGACATTTTTAGGAGGTTTTAAAGAACCTTGTGAAGCGCTATGTTGCGGCAATGATTAGAGATGCCAAAACTGAAGAAGGATTGACAGAGGAAAACTTCAAGGTATGTAGAAATGTAATTTTAACAACTTTTATTTTTGGTGCGTGAGTGATTGATATATTTTCATAAGAGCTTTCACTGCTATACTTGCAACTGCATTGAGAATACATCATTCCTGGTTTATGCCCTTTAGGACAAAAAATGCATTTTTCTATGTTCTTCTATTCTATTTTGGAAAAATAAAATAAAAATCTGTCACTTTAAAAAAGTTAGGGAAGCAATATACACTTGCAGTTTAACAAAAACAATAATGCAGATAAAGATATTCTCATGATTGATAAACAGTTTAGAGTTTTTGCTTCTGAGAATTGTGGTTTATCTGTGCTGCATTTAGTCAACTGATTTCTGGTACCTGTAATTGACCTCCAAAAGTTCCTTTGCATATTTTTGCTTTGATCCAGTGACTAACTTATCATTGTGTGTTATATCAACATGGTGATCATTATTCTTATGAAGGCTGAGATACTGGCATGTGACTGGTTACATGTACATTATTTTCTGTCCTACCTCTGAACTCTTCTCCAGCTAAAGATAAAGGGGTTTTAAAGTCTTTGCTCTCGGCGGTTCTTATTATTTTCATTCCCAAGGATGAGAACTGAAATGGGAAAAAGGGATTTTTATATGAAGCTTGGACCAGAAGCTTCTGGATGATTTTAAGAAAATGTTGGATGACTTGGACAGACCTGCACCTGTCTGTCAATGTATTATTTGATTTGGGGATTTTAAATATAAAATTTATTGTTACATTATTGTAACTTTTTAAACATGCTTTGAACAACGTGGTCTTAACAGTTAGGTTTGCTGAATCCGGCTTGCTCTGCTGCTGTGTTGCAAAAGTCATTCTTGAAAAAGAGATTTCAACCTCAAAAAGGCTTTCCTGGTAAAATTAAGGTTTAAAAAAACATACTCTTAAACATATTATCCTTAGCAGTCTTCTGTTTAATTAAAATAAAAAAAATTTCTGTCCCTCCATGACATTTTTTGTTTGCATGAAACCAATTTGACAAATGTTTACTGATGTTATTGCAATTGTTTCACCTTTTGTGTCACTTTTCAGTTGGACAAAAATGTATTATTAATTGGAGGATTATGTGTTGTAGCTGAGAGAAGGAAAAGATGATACAGGGAGAAGGTTTATTGAGAAAAGCTAAACTGGCACTCAGTTTTATGTAGTTTTATGTGTTTTGTTTTTAAAGCAAATATTTCTAAAATGTTCTAAGAGTTTTATGAACATGGCCACATATTTGACATACATTTTTACATGCATGTGTTGAGATCTTGGTTTATATATATTGTTTATATTGATATTGAAATGATATTTTTGTCAAGATCGGTTTAACGAATCTGACCCACATGCAGAGAAACCACTCAAAGAGCACGGAAAAAGTTTAACAGGTTTATTGAAGTGGTTAAACAGGAATTGGATCTGGAACTCAGTGAGCTGGTAACCCGGAACTGGAAGTGAGAAGGGAAGTTCAGTGGTCAGTTCAGGTACCGTGGGAATCTTGGAAGCACTTAGATTTTGCAAGAACAGGACTCGCGTTAGGAGGGGGACCTTGTTAGTCCTTGAATCCAGTCTGTGTAGTAAATCCAGAGAATAGCGCACACGTTGGAGGGCGGACAGGTTGACAAGTGTTGGACCCGGAGGAGTAATGGAGCGGACTGTCACTCGGATTTCCGATGGGTTCTTGAACAGAACATGTGGAGGTTATTCCCTGCTCAGTGTAACTCTGTTCTTCCTTCCAGGGGAGAGAAGGTCCAGGAATCCAGTAACACAGGAAAGCTTCCTGCCGGGGAGCAAAGACAAAAAGACTTGTTAGACTCAGAGAAACAAAGCTAGGTTAGACTCAGCTGAACTCAGCTTGGCTAGAGTACCCAAAACTGGCAAACACTTTGGCGTTGAGGTAGTGACAGTCCACTGCTCAAATACTCCTCCAGATAATGATCCAATGAGCCGCAGGTGTGCATCGAGGGACAGCGAAGACAGGGCACCTCCTGGTGGTGGAAAACGGAGACACACAAACAGGCCACACAAACTGGATTTCTAACAATTTTATTGATTGAATTTATTAATACATTTTCATATGAGTTTTGGTCATATCTTCAAGCCCTACTTTTAAGTGCTTTATATTCACGGCAAAATAATTTAGTATATTTCAAATTAAGCTAATACTTGTGTAAAATGCAAGTCAGTGTTGCAATAAATGATTCAGTTCCTGCACATTATTTGTCTTCCTGGTTTCAGGGTATATTCTAAAGCATTTCAGGTCAGTTTTGCTAAAAAATTTTAAAATTTTAAAAAAGTTATTTTTTTAAGTTTCCTCTCTCATATCAATGTCTTAATAAAACTATCCTGCTTTTCTAAGCACTGTCTGTAATGAACTATAACATTTAGTCTCATATTCAGGAAGGAATCCACTATAACCAATGGTTCAACATTTTCTGCCTTTATCCTTAAATAGAGGCTAACCATTCGACATCTTGCTTCCACACAATTAAGGTTAAACTTCATATTGCTACTGTTTTGAACATGCCCCTTTAAGTTGAGTCAGTCACACAAAATAGGGTGCATGCATGTCATGATATTTTGGTCTGGTTGTTGTACTACTTAATCACATTTTGTTACTAATTATTTACCATTTACACACATAACAACAAAATTGTTATTGACCTAGTAATTTATATTGGATGGTTATGATAAATGTTTTCTTCTCTTTATTTTCTTTTTCAATCACCAGGAGCTGAAGCAAGATATCTCTAGCTTCCGCTATGAAGTTTTGGGAATGTTAAAAAGTAAGCCTCACTGTGGGGGGACAAGTCCAGTTGCAAGCACAACATTGGCATATCCTGGAAATTCCTTTAAATATTGTCGTAAACCTGCTGCCAATGAACGTCAGAAAGAGCCAAGCATGTTGGATCCAAAATCCCCGGTCGTCCTGCAGAGTAAAGCAGCAAAGACCACCAACTCTCCATGCTCAAGTGAAAAAAGGAATTGTTCTGTTGTTGTGTGGAGCACAGAAAAGACTGAGAGAGAAATATCCAAAAAGCAGTCAAACCCTGAATCTGAGAAGCAAATCTCCCTCCTAAAATGTGATGAACCAAGCTCCTTCTCTAGGGAACAAAACTGAGATAGTCGGAGAGAAGATGTTGAAGTCCCACAGAAAAGTGAACACACACATTCAGGAAGTAAGGCTTTCTTGTACCATACTTTCTAATGAAGTGACAAATGGTCCAAAGAAGGTGCAAAAATAAATCTACAACAATGTAAATAATGTATGCACAGAGGAATGACATTTGAGGCAAATCTTTTCGTTTTAACAATTGCTTACCTAATCTTAATATTTTGAAGATAGCCAGGCTCAATTAACTGTAAAAATACAGAAGGTAGAGTCTGTAGTTGGTTTATACAATGTTATTTTTCTTTATTCATGAGTGACAATATTGCTCACTTAGTGCTCAGGAATTGCACTGTTAACTTTTTCTAGCTCCTTTCAGCAGCTCACTCAAAACTGTTGAAATATGTCTGCCTTTCTTATTATACTCCTTTACTGAGCTATCTTCTCACTTTAACATATAAAATGCTGTCTCTATCTAAAAAAAACTAATATCACACCTGATATTTTGTTATTTTAGTTTATATAATTATGCAAGAAATTCTGAATAATCTACAGCAGATAATTGGCTCAAAGTATATAAACCCAACTGTCTAAGCTAATGACGATTTTGAAATGGAGAAGAACATTTTGGGATTTGTTTCAGGAAGTATTTCCAAAATATTTGCTATGTAATCAGTGTTTTATGTTGTGCAGGCAAATGGCATAATAAATATATTTCATATCTTTGAAAACTTGTATTACTTCTGAGACATTTTGAAATATTAATAAAATCAGTTCAAATGTATTGTAATGGTAACTGCCTTTTTTTATTCAAAAACATGTTTGGTTGAAAAAAAATCTGTGAATTCGATTTTGTTAAAAACAGTTAGTATATTTGAATTTAACACAACTGAACTATGTTTGCTTAATTCTGTGCTCACTGGCACAAGAACCATTTTGCAATCATAGTTTTTGTCTTACATTACCATATTTGTAGTACTCAGCTATGATCGCCCTAAAAGAAGAAGCACTCAGGATTAAAATCAATCCAAAACATGATTTAACCTGGTCTGCTTTTGTACATAAATCTGTTTCATTGGTGTTGCATTGGAGTTATTTGAATGCTGCTAGAACAATCCTCAATTTGACCAAGTCTGTTTGCTTTCATAACCAAGGATGAATAAAATGTAACAATATAACAAAACTCTCAGAGCTTTAAATTCTGTAAAAAAAAAATAAAAAAAAATAATAATATTTCTCCATTATTTGTCGTGATTTGTTACAGTAATCACAGAAAGGGCACCTCTTCTGTCAGTAAAACCTCAATTTGATAACAAGATAATTTATTTCATATCATTATTCAGACTTGGGCATCAAGCACACAGTGTTAGATGTGAAGATATAATGTATGTTGACGAGGTGGCATCTTTTCATCATCAATCATAGTAAATGCAGTCATAAAGACCCTCTAGTGGTTTATGATGCATACATTTCAGCTGCTTTTAGGCTATAATAGAAATATATAATGATGTGGTCATGAGGTAATGGTAGGCCTTACTTAATACACAGGAAATTTTACAAAAGTTGTTTTATCTCTGTGAGATACAATAACAATAGTCAATTAAGCTATTATCTGCAGCAGTCTAAACCAAAATAATGCAAAATAAATAAATAAAATAAAATGACAAGAGCAGGGTAAAGCAACTAATCCTGGTCTTTTGTGAGCAGGATAGGAGCTAGCTTCAGGTTTCTAATTCTACAGCAGAATGGGAGCCAGTATGGCAAGGCCATGGACATATAATCCTGTTATTATGGCAAGGGACCAGTGGATGTTACATCGTTGATATCTGGTAAAACTGCAACTTTGTAGTTAATGAGTTGCATTCTACCCCTGTAATACCTGAGGGAGTACAATAAATGCAATTGAACATACCGCCAGGCATTAACAGTAATCAGTTCCTCAACTTAGACAAACTTTATTGTCATTTTATATAAGTACATGGAGTGTATACACAAACAAATTTCAATGTATTTCGATGTATACACCTTGTCAACAGTGAATAAGCAGCTAACAACAATTAAATGAACATTACCATTTATAAAGTGCAGCAGTGATCAGAATGTAAACAGTGTAGGAGAAAAGGCAAACCAGTTCAAAGTAATGGTGCAAAATGCATTAGCATGGAAAGGTTCAGGGCAGTGTAAAATGTATTATTATGGTGCAAAATGCAGTAGAACATTGTGTTGTGTTCTATAAAGGGACTGTGAAAAAAATCAGCCTTGTTGGTCGTGCAAATATGATGTTTTTAAGTGTGATGCAGAGTCTTGATTAGACAGTTCAACCGTCTGATGGCAGTGGGGGAAAAAACTGGTACAGAACCTGCTGGTCCTGTAGTGAATTCTGCGAACCTAGCTTTCAAAAATCCTCAAATTAATCGTTTTTGGTCTCTTTTATTATTATTATCTATTTTGTTTTGTTTATTCAGTTTTATACAATTACCATTGAAATACATGACTCCTGAACAATCGTAGGAGGCATTTAATAACGTTGAAAGAATTTCCTGGGATTGTACTGCTATTGTTAACGAGTATACATGCCTTAAATCTTTTTGGCAAAAATAAAAAGAAAAGGAATAAATTGCTGGAAATTCTGTCCACATTAATGCAATATTTTCATGCAGATGCTGCCAAACATTAAAATCCTAATTTGTACAACATCCTAAAGATTTGTTATTTACTTTTAGAGACTTCTGGGATAGTTGGGGTGCAACTGAATGTTTTTAAAGCCAAGAAATCACCTACAGGTGGTTTTGGCTTTTGACATGTGAAATTATCTTGCTGGAGGAAGATAGAAGATGGGTACACTGTAATCCATAAAGGTTGAACATGGTCAACAGCAGTACTCAGGTAAACTTGGCATATAAATAGTGCTCAGTTGGTATTAAGGGGGCCGCCAGTGTGACACAAAGATACCCCCCACATCTCATAACATCACACAACTATAGACAGCCTGAACCTTGATATATAAAAGACATCATGAACCCAAGCTTATATGTTTTTAAGTAAATTCTAACCCTCCTATGTGGGGAGTATTTCAGTTGAAGATAGATATGAACGCCATGATGCTTTATCCTGTATATTGTTATATTGTTTTTACCAACAGAAAAAAAAAAAAAAACCCTTCACCTCATAGTTGGATGCTAGAGAAAATCAGTCCCGTGAAACAAAAACTGTTTCTGTTACCACTGAACACATGGTTTTAATCTTTCTAGGCTCGCCGTCTTTGATTTTTTGTGGTGCTCTTATTAGCACTCATTTGAACTTTAATGGAAACATCTTTTAAGATTTGAGGGGAAAAAAAACTTCTCTTATGGCTAATAGTGTTTATGTCTGCATCAACCAGAGCATGGAAGTCACTGATTGAGACAATGAATGTTCTAAATCCGAGCTCAAATACTGCTGTGCGTCTAATTATTCCTAGTGAGACTGAAATTAGAAACAAGTTGGTTTGTTGCTCTTTAGTTGAATTGCATGATAGGATTGTATAATAAGTGTATTCCTGAATGATTAAAGAGCATTTCATTAGTTTTTCTTTAAATATCAGATTGAAGAAATACATAGCTTGCTGGCTCTTATGGTTAGTTGGCCATTTTTCACTTTTTTTTTTTTACCCATTAATTAAAAATAAAACAGGAAATGTACGGGCAAGGCTACTAGTTCTCAGTCATATATTTGCATCATCTTTGATTAGTTGATTTTCAAGTCAATTTTCAAGTCAATTTTTGTCTTACACATATGAGGAATATACCAAAGACACCTGGTAAGGTATGAGTAACATTCCAATGAAATTGATGCCAATTTAATATCTACTGTATGTCGGTATGATGGTTACATGTCAAAAAATTGCATTTTTTAATCTCTGCATTTAACCAGCAGGGGGCTGCCATTGTGTGGCACCCAGGGAGCAGTGTGGGGTTAAAGGTCTTGCTCAGGAAACCAGAGTGCATGCTGTGGAGATTGAACTTGCAACCTTCTCAGAGCACAAGCACACTGCTCTAACCACTTGGCCAACACTCCCCAAGCCCTAGTGGTTAGGGCACAGAGCTTGGAGTCCTGAGGCTCTGAGTTCCAGCCCCACTTCCGCAGACTTCCACACTGGATCCCTGAACAAGACCCTTTACCCCAGACTGCTCCCCGGGCGCCACACAATGGCATCCCACTGTTTCCCAAGGGGATAGGTTAAATGCAAAGAGTTCATTTTGTTGCTCTGTACTTGTGACAGTGTAATGACAGTTAAACACTGGGGGAAAAATAGATGAAGTCACACAGAAAAGGAAATGCATTGAGGTTTTTTCTTTACTTCTTTCCACAAGAGAAACTACAAAAGTAAACCAAAGTGAGGCCTGAGTATATCTACTCTGTTTCTCACTATGTAAGAAATTCAACTATTTATTTATTACAATCTTTTATTGCAGTGGTACTTAGAAATAAATGATTACCTTCCTGTTATTCACAGTGCATTATGTGGAAAAAAAAAGGAAATAAAAAATAATTTTAGTACCCGGGACTATATTTAAATGTTTGACACATGAGATCAAGCTGTCTATAAACTAGGATTTTATATATTTAAGCTGTTTCATAAACAGTAATTTCCTGTGTAATCTACCTTTTTAAAAGACTTTTATTTTTAAGTTGAAAGTCTCCAGAGAGACCATCTAAAAACAGATGGAGATGATGTTTACAACTAAAATAACTATTTAAATTCACCTTATTAAAAATACAAAACATTTCCTCTCTGTCTGATATTAAATCAGTCTATTGTGTCTGCACATGTTTAGGTTAATTGGGATAACTAAGAACATTTGTTTTTGCCAAACCCCATAAAGTAAGGTATCTTTAGTGATCCACCAGGAGGACAATGACCCTAACTATAAGAAAATAATTTCTGAATTTGAATAAAATATTTATAAAAAAGAAAAAAAAAACATTGAAAAGATTCTCTCCCATTATTTTGGCATTATGAAATTACACATACATTTTTTCATATTCCAACTGAAATAACATAAAAATCATGAATAAATGATAAACTTAAAGGAAGTTATGTTTATTTCCACAAAGTGTGTTTAAAAATCATTTTTAACAATATATGGAGACATTGAAATGTAAGGTTTGTGATTATGAAAACTAAATTTAATCATGTGATTAAGTAAGGTGTTTGCACTCTGTTCTGCCACTAGGGGGAACAAACTGCATTCTGAATATTTCTGAATATTTAAAGTATTTTTTTTTTTTTTTCTTAAGCTGCAGAATTTTGTATGTGCAGTATTATTTGTTTTCTTTCTACTGCTATATTCTCTGTTTGCTTTTCCCTCTTACACCGTATTAAATTAGTTGCAGCTTAATTCTTATAATTTTTATGCAAATATAAAAACTTACCCAAATTTTTTATATATTTACTTGCTTTATTTATATATTTAAAAGATTTTATTTTGGGTTTTCAAAAGTTTGCCGAGGGTATTTCTAAAAAAAAAAAAAAA